AACGTTAGTACCGTTCGTTCCCGTACCGTACGTAACTAATTAATTATTAGTTCGTAGTACTATACTTCTTCTTTTATATATATATATACTATACTATAGTGTGTGTGTGTGTGTGTGTGTGTGTGTGTGTGTGTGTGTGTGTGTGTGTGTGTGTGTGTGTGTGTGTGTGTATTATATATATATTAGAAACCAGGAAAGAAATTCATGGGAAGTTGCCCTGGGTCACTTAGTACAATTTTTTTAGTGGAAGCTTCAATAAATGAGACTTGTACGAGAGAGAGAGAGAGATCATTATGATTAATAAGAAAAGAGACCAAAAGTTGTAAAAGTATACATGTTTGGTAGGGTTAACATTTGTCACTACACCAGGGGTTAGTAAGAGCTATAATTTTATCTAATCGTAATCCCAAACAGTTTGTTCATATGGGCTCCGGATTACACAATTTTTAATATGATGCCGATCACAAGCATCCTGATTGTAATATTGGGTGCATATTATCTCTGGGCATTCATTCCTTAAATGAGACTCGAGAGAGAGACAGTGGTTCTATTTGGTTGGTGGCACTAAATAACAGTGGGTCTCGTCTGATTTGAAGTAAAAGTTGGCCCTCAGGATTTAGAAGGCACCTATGAGTCACAAGCAGCATCTAAACAGTTCGGCTTGCCCACAATGGGTGTTGCTAGTAGCAAAAAAGACAGGAGAGGGGGGCTAGCCTCAGTGTGTCTGCGGTCATGTTAGTAGGACTGACCAACCTGAACAGCCAACAGCATGGTTTCCATTGTCCCCAATCTGACCTATGTTTTACGACTCCTTGTTATGTATATGTGCCATATTGTTTCCAAGGCATATTGACCTGGTCACCAGTAGTGTGTAGACTGCCAAGGCAGGGTGAACCACCAACAGACATACAGTCAACACTGGCAAGGGGAGGAACTTCTTATGTAAGAAGGAACATAGTAACACGGTAGGGCTTAAAGTTGGAGGTCACCTGTAGCCAGCAGGAAGGGACCTGACTGTCCCTGGGTATCGCTCACATGGTGTTACCTGGTCTGGGAGAGGTTTAGTTCCACTTCCTGGGTTCCGTGGTGCCTTCAGTGGAGCAAGGAACATGGGTAGCGGAGAAGGGCACCTCTTTCTCCAGAAAGTGGTGAGTAGTTTGCTTGGGTTACACTGGATGATGAAGGAACACAGGTGCAGGATGGTTTCAGAATCAGTGGTCCACATCAGGCTCTTATCAGGATCAAGAAGGAGGTGGCTAAGCTCTGCGTTTTCTATGAGGAAGAACGAAAAGATGAAAGTATCACACAGAGGTTCCTTTTCTGTGCACGGCAATGAGTGGGCTCCCATGTCTGTGAAAAGTGATAACTGGGTTGTGTCTGGTGTGGATGTGTACACCAGCAGAGATAGAAATGTCTCTGTTGGCAGTCTCGTCATTTGTTGTGAATTTCAATATGGTGTAATTATGCCACAGGGGCATCAATTGAATATAATCAGGACCACAGGCAGTATTTTTGACCACTTGAAGGACCACTGCCCTCCAAGTTCTCTCAGTAGCCCCTGGTTTAAAAGTCCACTATGTCTTTGCATGATTTCTGCTGCTGTAGGATGATCTGGATAGGTGAAAGGCCCAAGCAATGCTTTTTTTATAATGCCCACTATTGTTCTGCTGCACAGTGACATGGGGGCTTTGCTCTGACCGTATATCTTGTGTGGCAGTTCCAAGGACTGTAAAAGCTATTTTGTTAAGCCTTCAGTAACATTAGGAGAGGCCGGTGCTTTGTATGGATAAACTATTGGAGGGCCTGTATAGAAGGCTGGGAGGTTTGGACAAATTAACTTCAGTGGCAGGGTATGTGGCTATTTTTTCTTGGAGCTGCGACACCCTAGTAGGGCCAGGTTCAGCTCAACCCGGCAGACACTATTCCCATTTGAATAAAGAGGCCTCTGTTGCTGTATGTGGAGCTTTTTCTATCACTCAGGGCATAATGGGAATCTCAATCCATAGGGTAACTGGCTCTGCTCCAGTAAAGCCTTCAGTTTCAGTAAGTACACCTCCGGAAGGTGCCTCTCTATTGGCCCAGACCTTTGGGTTGAGTCTGAAAGTTGCTTATGCCAAAAGCCCACAAGTAAGGCATTTACTTGTCCATTTGGTCCAGGGGCTCCCAGAAATGAATTTTAGTGTGGTGGAAACTTCTAAGTCCTTCCCTCAGAGCACTGGCAGGAGAGCTGACGTGACAGCCTTCTTTAGTTTATCTGGTGCCTACTGTTACTCAAGCCCCAATGAAAAGTGGGAAGTCCTATGGGTGACTCAGTGAATGGGGGCCAGCAAATATTTGAAGTTGGTACCAGAATCCAAGCATTTCTACCAAATGATGGACCTCCTTCACCAATACGAGACGTTGGAGCTCTAGGAGGTTTTTTTCTTTTTTTTTTTACCAAACTGGGGATTGCTTACCCTTTTTGAGTTTCAATTGTGACCCAGAAATTTCACAAACTAGGAGGGACCTTGTATCTTATGGGAGGCAACTGCCCATCCCATCTCAGTGAGGTGTTCACTCCGTTATGATGGTCTGTGACACAGAGTCTTGGCAGGTCCAGTGATGAGGGCTTCATCCATACAATGCCAGAGCCAAATTTCTGCAGGAGGTGGCTGGTGCAGAGCAGGTTTCTAGGTTCTGACTGCAGATTCCATGTGCAATCACAGGAGTACCCACATACCACACAGGCAGCTGGGAAAAGGTGTACTGTTGATCCTCCGAGGGGAAGGCAAACTGTGGTCAACTCTCCTATGACATGGTTAACAAAAAGAACATGTTAGACCTGAACCATTTACCAATGTTATTTTGAAAGTCATTCATTCATTCATTATGGTAACATCTAGTAGCGGGGCTCCGACACGGGGAACAGCCTTGTTTACCTCTCTCTGGTAAACAAGGCTATCTATAGATAGCCTCTACTCAGTAGTGGCTTCAAGCACAGTCCACACTAAAGGACTGAAAGGTGGGAATCCATATCCTTTATTTAACTAAGTCAGCTATAACAGGCCAGGATCCTTCAGTGCTTTACTTTTAGTCAGTACCTCTTAACCAGGCAGAGGAAGGTTAACTGGTTCCCACTGGCCAGCGTCCACCAGTGGCATAAAAGCCTTAGGCTTGTTTCATGAGGTTAGCTGCTGACCGAGGAAGTCCCTTCTAATAATGGGAGAACAGTCTGAGACAACAACCAGGACAGAAGCATCTTGCAGCAAAACTATGGCCACTGTAATAGTTAAGCAGATAATTAGGCCTTCAGTTAAGTCCCCTCCAAAGCCAATCACTTCTGAGGGGTATCCCTTTAAAGTATGAGTGCTTCCTGGGATTAGGGAGACTTGGACACCTGTGTCCATCAGAAGCAGTCAGTGCTGTTAATATTTTGGAGCGCAAACTACAGTTACTGTGGTAAAAGGGCGATTGTCTGCCAGAAGAGACTTGCTTTGAGACCACTGGGGCCCGAGGTGGGGGCAGGTGGGGGCAGGTGGGTCCCTGCCACTGGCAGAGGTCAGGGGCAGACATGGGAGGTAAGCCTGTCTCTGAAGGAAAAGCCTGCCCAGACTGTAATATAACTTTAGTAAACATTTCATTGCTCCAGAAATTTATCAGAGATTATCTGATATCTCTGAGCCCCTTGTCCCTTAGGGTCCAATACAATCAACCTCTCTTGTTCTTTCCAGGGTTCACACTTAAGAAGACGCCTGGTTTTAAGTGGTTTATTTGGCCTAGGAAGGGGGCAATCGCTCTCCTGCTAGTAATTTTGATTTAGGCCAGTGGGATATTGTTTGTAGAATGAACAGACAGCACTTGACTATGAGTTTGTCTTTTATGAGTTTCTGTCAAATCCAGGGCAGCTATGTCCTCTTGAATGGTCTTACCATCTGCCATCATTGCCAGTAAAGAGGACTTACACTTTTCAGGAGCCCCCCTGAGAAGCAACTTGGTGGACTCAGGACTAAACTCAGCCTCCTCAAGACTTGGCAAATCACCATGCTACATGTTTCCTGTTGCCTGATGAGCCCATTCCAACATCCTCAGCTCATGGAGGCTAATGTTTTCCTTTGAAAGTCTGCAAAGGATTGTTATGAGGCCTAACATCAGGTGTGCAGCATTCCAAGAAAAAAATCCACATCAACAAAGTATGTACGTACATATGTATGCATCTATCTATCCATCCGTACATCCATCCAACCATCTAGCTATCTCCAAAGCCTCCTCTGGTACCATTCCCACCTTCTGCACTAATTGTGTGGGATACTTCAGTAGGGACATTAATTTTCTGTCCCATATTATGACAGTCAATTGTTTAACTATATTCCCTGCTAAGTGGAGCTCACTTCCCACCAGATTCTATACAACCAGAGAACCCTTTTTTCATTTGGCTCTTAGGCTAGGTCCTCTAGGAGAGATTGGGTCTCAGGAATCAGAGTGAGAAAAAGGATATATTTCTTCCTCCAACTGACAACAGACCTCACCTCTTTAGCTCTTCTTGTCTTCTCTGCCTTTATTGTGGGTGGTTACAAGCAAAACAGAAGGTAAATAATCCAGATCACTATTAAGACGGTATTGCACTGCCTTTTCTTCTAGAGGGCACCAGTCCTCTTTTCCAGGATCCTCCAATTTGTCTCGACTTCCCAAGGAGTTACAGAAAGCTACAACCTCCTCTCCAGGTGGTGACCTGATGAAAACCAACAGTGAACAGAGCCCAACACATCTTGTGGCTTGGAACACTTGTGCGTTAAGACGGCCACCTCCTTCGAGTCCTGGGAGGGGTGAGAATACTAATTTCCTTGCATTAAGTCATTTTAAGTCATGCTTTAGCCCCATATCCTTTGGGGGAGGGACTAGAATAATGCCATCTGACACAGCAGATCAGAGGGACGCAGCAGCAGAGACAGTTTAGTTGTTTACAAAGATGTCTTAAGAGACCAGCCCCAGCCTGACATCTCTGACTTACTGACTCATTTACCTCCCAGAGCGGTCCCCAGTGATGAAGATGTCCTCTCATCTCAGAGCACCCCAAATCACCAGCCCCACTATAGGGAGCCTGTTATGGGGTCAGAAGTAGCCCATTCTTGGTCCAGAGGCATGCACTCCTCCCCTTCTCCTGTTCAGGCCCACAGGTCTTACACTGTCTAGTACCTGCCACTGAGGGACCCAGGTGGGTGGACTGATCTTTCTTGGGGAGCTTAGTGCCTCTGATCCCAGAATTCAGTCCCAGAGGCATGGGTTGGCTTAAATGCTGGTGCTGCTGCTTGATCAGGCTAATGTAATGACACACAAGGGGAGACCATAAAAAATGGAGAGTGTGTAATACAGCCCAGAGCAATGTCATGTCAAACTGACATGGGGGAGTTCGAAATTTTGACTCCCGACCACTTAAGGCTGTCCAGAGTCATTTTGCCAACTGTCCTCCTGACTAGGTGGACCCTACACTGATTTCCTGACCATCACCCAAATCCTCCACTTGCCCCATCAACACTAGTAATGAGTGTGAGGGATCTCGGAGCAGATCAAGGAAAAATCTATCACCGGAAAGTGGCAGTGGCACAAAATGACCTTTATTTGGAGGAAGCTGTCACAGGTTTGCATGCAAGGGAAGTCTCTTAACGACAGGAGATCTTCCAGAGGCTACTGTGTGGGAGTCACCACAAAGGACAGAGCAAAGGAAATCCCAGGGGAGAGCAGGATCGGAGAGGGGACGCAGGCATCTAGGTGATACCACTCGGTAGCATGATGGAGTCTGTGGGTCGGAGAGTGCCAAAGGGCAGCAGTGTTTTTGTGTATTTGTGTTTGAGTGAATGTGCAAAAATGTTTAACGGTAAATGCATGAGCATTTATATATGTATGTATGTCATTAAAATCCAAGTGTAAGTGAATATAGGAGCATGTGTGTGAGTTAATGAATATGTAAACATGCTTGTGTGTAGGGGCATGTTAATATGCATGCTCTTTCGTGTGAGTGAACGTGATTACGTCTGAGTGTGACTAAATGTGTGTTCACTTGTGTGGAAGTGATAGTGTTAGCATGTCTATGCGCAACTGTAAGTGAGTGTCAGTATATGTGAGTGTGTGTGTGTGTGAGAGGTTGTGTGAGTGAATATGATCTGGTTCACGTGTGAATGTGTGATCATGTCCATGTCTCTGCGTGCATGTTCTGGGCTGTGTGTGATTGTATTAATGTGCGTGCATGGGTGTTTACAAAGCTGTGTGAATATGTGAACTTGTTCATGTGTGTGAACTTGTTCACACGAGTGATTTGTGTGTATGAGCCTGTTTCTGTTTTTTTAAATAAATGTGAGATCATGTCCACGTGTGAATGTGTATGAGTGAACGTGTGAATGTGAGTGAAAGCTGAGTGCACATTTGGTAGTGAGATAGTGTGTAAGCATGTTGGTGTGCCTGGGAACGCTAATGTTTAAGTATGCTCATGCACATGTGTGAGCATGAACATGTGTAAAGGAAAGCGTGAACACGTTTGTGCTTTGAACATGTTAATATGCAAGTGTGAAAGTGTATAGAAATGAATTTTTGAGTGTGCTCATTCATATCTGAGTGTGTGTAAATTAACACATGAGCAAGTTGGTGTGTGTGTGAAGGTTTTAATGTATAATTATTTTTCATGTGTGCAGTTAGATGTGAAGGCAAGTACATGTATGTGAACATGATGTATAATTTTAAGTGAAGTTTTGAGTATATGTGTGTCTGTATGTGTGAATTAATCTGAGCAAGCTCACATGGTGAATTTTATCAATGTGTGTGTTTAAGCACATGAATGTCTTTGTGTGTTCATCAGTGTCTGAGTGGTTTTGTGTGTGAATGGATATGAGTATGTGCATTTATGTGAACATTTTCCTTTGTCTTAACTAAATCTGTGAGGTTTCTGTGTGTAGGAGCATGCTAAAATGTGACTATGTTGATTCAGTGAATGTGTGAATATGAGTATTTGTGTGAATGAACATGAAAGTAAATGTGTGATTGTATTGAACTGTGTTACTGTATGTATATTCATGTGTGTGACCATGTGACTGCATTCACATGGGAATTAACATGAACATGTTCATGTGTGAGAGCTTAGGAGCAGTTCTGTGTGTGTGAGCATGTTCACATGGGTGAAAATGTTAACATCTTAGTTTGCATGGATGTGAGTGTCCTGTGACTGGACGTGAATGTATCTAGGTACGTGAATGTGTGAGCATGTCTGTGCATACAAGAATGTTCATATGCCCCCTTGTGTGAGTAAATGTGAGAATGTGCTTCTATGTGTGATTGAATGCATGAATGTGTTCAGGCAGGAGTGACTGTGAGTCCAAAGGTGTATATTCATGTACAAGTGTGAATGAATGTATGACAATGTGAGTGTTTGCATGTGAAAAGGTATCAGTGTGTTCATGTGTGTGAGTGGATGTGTGAGCGAGTGGACGTGAGCATCTGTATGCAAGTGACTGTGAGTGTGGGAGTATGTCATTGTGTCTGTGAGTGTGTGAGCTTGTTCTTGCATGTGACTGAGCTCACATGCATGCACATGTGAGCATGTTCACTTGTGTGAATGTGTGAACTGGTTCACGTGTGAGTCATCAGTGAGTATATATGTGTGTAAGCATGTGTGTTTCACTGACTGTGCAAGTATAGCCATGCGTATGAGCGTGCTCACATGTGAGTGTCAGTGGACAAGTCTCTCTGTATGAATGTACCAGCATGTTCACGTGTAGAAAGTATGAGCATATCGATGTGTGTGAGCATGTTGATGTAAAAATGTCAGAGTCTGTGCAAGGATGGTCAGGAGTGAATGTGTCAGCAAGTAAGTGTGTATAAGTGACTGTGTGAGGATGCTTATGTGTGTCATAGATTTAATGTGTAAGTGCAACTGAATGTGTGAGCATGCATTTGAGTGTGTTTCTTCTTCCTGGGTTTTTTTTTCGGGCGGGGGGACCCTGTGTCCATAGAGTGAACTGTATGGCACTGTGCACAAATAAGTTTTTATTCTCTATTGGCCCAAAGCTGTCTATAACCAGCTTGACAGCAAGGCCACATTATCCTCTGTGTATTACATCACACTGCTGCTATAGAAAGCTGTGTGACTCCTGTGTTCAACCTGCTGGCTTCCCTGCAGGATGGCTGCCAGGAGCTGAGCTACAAAGAGAAAAATGTGTTACTCCAAGCCTAATGCTTCAGAGAGCAAAGTGCTATTGGGAATAACTGTCTGAATGACAACTGAGAAGTAAATGGGCCTCTGTCTCAGGAAATAGCCCAGATTCCACCATTTAGGGCTACTGTGAAAAAGCCCCAGTAAAATGCCATGTAATGACAGGAGTCGCTGCAAACACAGTCCTTCATTACAACCTTTCAGACCCCCCACATGCCTTTAGAGGATAGAAGCTGTGTAAGGCAGTTAACAAACCTCAGCAGGGCCAGGAAGCCAGGGACCCCACCAATCCCAGGGTCATACTTCTAATTCTAGACCATTCAGTGCCACTCAGGCAAGTCCATCCCTTTGGTGGAATCCTGAGGACCTTAAAGGGCCAGCACAGAGCCCTGTCCAAGGGTTCCCAGCTGAAAGAGCACATGCAGGGTCAAACGCAGTCCACATTTCCCTCATCAAGCCGTGTTCCCTGGCACAGACATCCAGCCCAGAAGAATGGAAACTCTCCTGTTTTATCTGCCCACAGGGACCCCTTTTTTTGCTAGCAGGGATCACTGTGAGAACTTAGCTAAACTATCCCCACATCTCTAAAAGGATAATTGGAAGAAAAGTGTTACGGACTGCAAGTTTGTGTGCTACCAAATATGTATGTTGAAAGCCTAATAATGTGATGGTATTTGGGAGATAATTAGGGTTAAATGAAGTCATGAGGGTGTGCTCCCCATGATGGGATTAGTGCCCTTATAAGAAGAGGAAGATCTTTAAAAAAACTAAAAAGAGACCTACCAAAAATGTAATCTGGTAGGGTCACTCCTTGGATTTCTAGAGTCTCACTCTCTTCCAGAATCAAGCTGTAAATCTCCACCCAGGTTCTCTTTTCTCCCAGCGAGACACGCCTGGCCACTTTAACCTTGCCTCCGTGGTACATACCGGACATTGGCAGGACACTGGCAGTCTTCCTCTTCTGCTCCCCTGGGCTGAGCTTCATCTCCAGAGCACACTGCAGGGGCAGACCAGAATGAGGAGCTGCCTCCTGGGACACCCACTGTGCACCAGGGTTCGGCTTCATTATCTGCTCCCCTTATCTCTGCCACCCACTCTGCTCAGGATGCAGCTGCCCCATCTACTGGCCTCCCTGTTCCCCCCATACACACGCCACAGTGCCAGACTTAGCACCCGCAGGGCCCCCTTCTGTCTAAAGAAAGCCCAAAGTTGTTCTTGTACTCCCCTCTTCATCAAATGTTTGGTCAAATCAATCCAGGGACTCCCTTTTTCTCACAACCCCTAGGTCTGCATGCCAACAAAGGTTATTGTAACCCACCACCACCCACCTTAAGCAACGCGAGTCAACAGATTAGAGTCTGTGTGAAAGATGGCGGTGAGGTGCCTCCAAGATAATGCAGATTATCCACACCTGACAATCCCCAGAGCTTGGCCTGTGCCCCTGCTCCCTCCCTCTGGCCCTGGATGCCTGCTGAGAGGGCCATCTTGCTTAACACAACGGGAGAATGTGCTCAGTGTATTTAAATGGTTGTTGTTAGCCTTTGCTGAGATGCTCGAGGACTCAGAAAGGAGGAAATGAGGTAGCTACTCACTTGACTCACACCAGTGTTTGGCTCACTTGATCCAAACGTCGGTATTGTGCAAGGGGGAGCTGGCTGCGCTCTAACACCTGAATTCCCACACACTCGGCCCTCTATCTTCTGCTCTCCTCCCTAGAGGGCCCACCTAGAAGTAGCACTGCTGTCCTTGCAAGGCAAGGTGACTGAAGGAGCTTGCTTTCTGTCCGTTCCACCTCAGCTTCCCGCCGAGGTACACACTCACCTGGGAACATGTGCACACCTTCTCCCCTCATACCACATAGGAGGAAACGGAGCGAAGAGAAAGCAACCGTCAAGGGACCCACTGCCACAGCTAAGGGCCCAGCACAATGGCCTTGGTTTTTAAGGTGGCTCCCAGGGCAAACATGGTGCCCTCGCTGGTCTACCCCCAAGTGCCAAATCCTCACAGCTGTGTGCTCTTTAGGACTGACGCTCTGGACATTCAGAAGACCTCTATTCATTTCCACAAATGTGAGCCATTGGCATTCATTAACCCTTTAGAGTTGGTATCTAGTTCAAGCTCCTACAGAATCTCTATTTAAGGTACCTCTGTTTTGCCTGTCATTGGTTTAGGGTTCCTAGGTGACCCCTGGGCCAGAGGATACTACTCCTGTTCTATGGGCTTCAGGGTAAGTTTCCTGTCAATTAAAGCTGGCTGGCCCAGGCTACCTGCCCTTTCCAAGGATAAAGCTAGGAGGAAATATAGGAAGAAACTTGACTCATTGGCTTCCTGGTTTTGTGTACCTCTGTTTCCTTGCCATTTCTCACCTCTGCTCTAGAAATCTGAAAGCCATGCTAAAGAATTTGGACTTTATTTGACAGATAATAAAGCCATCAGAAGTCTTTGACATAATCAGGCTTATTTATAAAGATCATGCTTACTGCAGTGTGCTGAATGGACTGAAGAGACTAACACTAGTATTAGGGAGACGAGAGTTCGAGAGGTTGTTGCAGTAATTCGATAGGAAGATGCTCAAGGCCCGATCTGGGGGCTCATGATCAATGGAGAGCTAAGAACAGAGTTGGGATGTTTTCTGGAGGCAGAGCCAATAAAACCCAGTGGGAGTTGAAGGCTCAAGGGGGCCGAGGGGCAAGCACTTGGGGCCCAGGTAAGTGAAGCAGACTGGACAGAGAACATGTGCTCAGTTTTGAACACAATGAAGAGGGTGAGTACCCAGGGTGCAAAGAATGTGTGCTCAAGCGTGCTCTGCATAGAGCATGACAGAAGGAGCAGAAAATTCCACCTTGAGAAGCACAGAGCCCCCTGGTCTGCACACCCATTTCTGTGCACAGTGCTCCTCCAGTCACACCAAGGAGCGTGCTTCAGGTGTGGCCCCTTCTCAAGGGAGCATGGAGAGGGTAGAAGGCCTTGCATACGAAGGCAGCAAAGTGGGAGACATTCCAGGGTCAAAGCAAAAGGCCTGGAGATTGAGAGCCTGGGGGCGCCCCATCGCAGGTCTCTGCAAGTCAGGAAGGTGGGATCTGAGACGCAAAGGCGCAGGAGGGCCTGGAGGGGTGCCGCTGCTAAGTTCACTCGGCGGGGCTAGCTTGCTGTGTTTCAGCTCTATTCAATTTAACACAAAAACCTCAAGTGTCTAGAAGTGGCTTACCTCCATACGTGGACTCAGACGGACGTCTTATCCCATCAGCACCCTCCCCAAAACCTTCTGAACCAGTTTCATTTGCATATAGCTTCTGCTGAGACAGAGAAGTCATTGGTCATTAGTAAATCCCACGCTGTTTCTCAGAGAACAGCAGAGACTACCCCAGGTGTCAACCTTCCAGGGCCTTCCCTTCTCCTGCACACATACAGATATATATGGTCATATGTGTACACACTCTCCCCACCCCATGGTGAGTCAGCCAGAAGCACACAGGGAGGCAGACTTGTCCTCCCTTCCCCAGCTTTTATCCAGAGGATGGGGCACAAAGACTGAGTCGGTATTACCAGGCAGGAGGGGCTGGGAGCAGGGGCAGGCATTCTGGGAAGCAGTGGGGAGAGGAAGTAGGCAGGTGGTAGCCCTCAGAAAAATGCATTCCTTCAACCCCTAAAAGAGCCCCATCTTGTAATCAGCAGGGACATAGCTCTCCACATTGGTGGGGGTCCTTCAGGGGGTACCTGACTGCCCCAGGAAAAGTCATCTTCCACCCTCAGTGCCCTCCTCAGCTGAGCTAACCAGCCTATGGTCTCCAGCTGAAAACCACATTTCCCCACCTGGGCTGTGACTGGGCATTTTGTCATCACATCCATGCCAACCTTGCTTTTGGACACCTCTGTTTTTAGGGCTGGGCATATGGCATTTGACACAGAGAGAGAACCTTCTGACCCTCACCCAATAAAGTCATTTCAGATTTTTGGACCTCAAGGCTGTCTTCTCAAAGACATTCATTCTGGGAGCTGGCATTTCTCTCACAAATCATGTGTTTCCAGCCTGGAGGTGTCTTGGGTGATTATCTGCAAGCACCCACCCAGAGTCCTGCGGAGAGCAGGCCTTTCCAGAGGTCTCAGCTGTGCTCACCCACGACACCTGAGACCTTCAGCAGGGCTGTTTCTGCCCAAAGGGCATGTGGATAGAAACAGGCCCCAGGCATCACTGCGATCCTCAGGCTCTTTCACACACTGGCCAAGGAATATCAGTCCCTGCAATGTGCATGTGCGTGTATGTGTGTGTGTGTGTGTTCACTAACACAATCTGGCATATGGGGTTGTGGACACTGCAGGGCTACCTGCCTAGAACCTTATCCAACTACCTTCTCCCCAACCCCCATACATGTTCATTTCTAGTTTGCTATTTAAAAACTTACCCCACATTATCTTTAATCATAAAATGTCGCTGTGTAATATTCCAAAGTGTATGCATGAATTATTCCTAAATTAATGCAATGCATCCCCACCTGTTTTCAACCCTGTGTTCCCCCCGGGCCACTGCTCAGGATCTGTGGCCAAACAGCAGCAGGCTGTTTTAACATCTCTTCAGATAGTCTCAGACTCAAACACACTTAAAATCAAACACAGGAAAAAAAATCTGTACTTTCAAATACTTCACAAGAGTAAGTACAAAAGGACACCCATCTCAGGCCACACGAACATACAGCCATAAATGCACTGTCTGGGCACCAAAGAAGCTGAGTCAATAATTTCTATCAGTGGCATCAAAGAGGGTCCCCTTAGCCCCTCAACAGACACACACTCACATATACACATGCCCTGGGAACAGGCCTCCGAACCTCTCCTCATAACTGCCCAGAATGTTCGACCACTCGTGACTGGATGGAGATAAAACCCAAAACTGTAAAATTGCACCACTAGGAATCTAAAGTATTCTGAGGGAATTTGTACAGAGAGAAAAGGTCAAAAAAAAAAAAAGATTTCTCTGCAGCAGAAATAGCAGGACCATAGCAGGAGACAGTTTCAGTCCACAAGTCTCTGGCTTGGGGGCCCAGCAATCTTTTGTTCTTCTGCTCTGCTGCCCAGGCCTCTGTTGCAATAAAAATCCTGATCATCATAATTCATAGGGAAAAACACATGGCACTCCTGTGACACAGTGATGAAGTTAATTCAAGTCCAACTTAAGCCCAAAGTCCTTAAAACTTATTAAGAAACTATTGCCATATGGGAGGCCCTTAACCCTAATGATACCGATTTGAGGCTCTCTGGAGGAAGAAATCTATAAATATGAGCAGAGTAGAGAGGACCCCCTCCACACACACAAAGTATATCCAGTGGCAAACAGATCAGAAAAAAGAATGAGAGAGAAAGAAAGCAGCAAACTTGAATACAGAGGGAGGAAAATTTAAATTGAAACAAAGACCCACAATTTAATCCAACTGGAAATCCAGAATTTGGTAAAAGAATTTATACCCTTTGTCCTTGGCCAATGGCTGTCTTCTCACTGTGTCCTCATGTGGCCTTTGTTCAGTGTGGGGAGAGAGCTCTGTGGTGTCTCCTCATCTTGTTAAGGATACCAGTCTTGTTGGATTAGAGCCCCATGCTTATGACCTCATTTAACCTTAATTTCTTCCTTTCCGTAAACCTAATAAAGGGCCACCCCAGGGATATACAATCACAATGTCTATATGTCTGCCCCAAGCAACCAGCAATGGTCACTAGGTTAGACACAGTGCTCACTCCATGACAAGTCACTGGCTCAACCCCCAGGAAGAGGGACTCAAGTGCTGACTGGTTAGGGTGTTCTGTTGTCATCACCTTTACAGGGAGGGACCTCTGAGACCACCTGCCACACACAGATCAAACTCGACAGCGTATCACACTGGGGTACAGTCAATTACCCACAATTCTTATCTTGAGGATGAGAATGTTTTAGGGTAGGAAGAGATGGCAACATCCAACAGAGACAACACAGTGCCACCCAGGCCAAAGCACAAGCCCATCAGCAGTTGGCGGTCCTGTCCCAGGCAGTGTTCACTGTATCATGGAACCAGTTAGTTAGCCAAGATGCAGCAGGTCAAAGCTGACAGCTGTCCTTGACTGTGGCATTGTTTTAATCATCTCTTCATTCATTGGTGAAGGAGGCAGTCCCACACCAGAGATATGGGATGGCTGAACACACAGCATCTAACACCAGCCAGAAAAGACTAACAGCATTTCATTAGTCACATATGCTCACAGCCCAGGAGAAAAAAACATCCCATAGGCTGTGCAGGACACATGAGGGTTGCATTCTGGAACCAAGTGAACCAGAAGGGTCTGTGGGAAGCTGGCTTTGCAGTATTAAGAGGGTGAGGTACCCCCTGGTTCCCGAGTAAGGACGTGATTGGCTTGTTTGAATAATTCTGCTGGCTGACAAGGAAACACTACTTAACGATAATAATCAGGAATACATCTGGTCCATTTAATAAGGAGGCTTGTTGCTAGAGGACCCCATCTGGCGGAGCAGAGTAGGTAAAGGAACTTGGGATTAGGCCACTGGAGGCCCTCCCAATTTTACCAGATGTAAAACTCAGCACAAAATATTAATTTTAGCCCTCACCCAACAACCACCACCACCATCCCGCTCCATGCGCGCGCGCGCGCGCACACACACACACACACACACACACACACACACACACACACACACACAGAGGAGCCAGTATACATGACTGAGAAGAACTTAGTCCCTGGAGATAAATGGGTGGACCGTAGGGTGGTGGCTTCTCCAACCTCCGTGATTGGGGCGCTGTTAGATACTACAGTAACGTACAGGCTGAAATACAGGGGCTCCATCTAAACTGGCCGCCCCCAACCCCACTACTAACTCCGCTGGGAACCGGCCAGGAAGCTGGGCGCATGGGCGGGGGCTCAGAACCCCAGACCCACGTCTCCTCCAGCCGTCTCCTTCCAAGAGGTCACCCACTCACACCACCCCCCGCCCCGCCCTCCCAGCTCCCGGCAGCCTGGCGACCCCGCTTACCAACAAGAGGTCCAGAACGACGTCAGGAACATCGGAGAAGAGGTTAGAAGTCAGAGTGTAATTTCGAGGTGGGATTGGGGTCGTCGCCCTCCAAGACCCAGGTCCTGACGAGCAGTAGGAGCACAGCGGCTCGCAGCACGTCCGGGACGCCGGCGCTCCAGTGATCGGAGAACGCGCGAGACGACGGCGGACTGGTCGGGGGGGGCGTGGGCAGGATAACCACGAGGGGCGGGGGAGGAGCTTGCTCTTCTGCAAAGAGCCGCCGCTAAGGAAAGAGCATCGAGGGCCAGAGGAGCGGGGCGAGGGGAGGGGGTGCGATCAGAGGCCCTGAGCCCCGGAGGGACGGCAAGAAGAGCAGCAGGCCAGCAGCTCCACGCCACGCTGCACCCCTCGGACGAATCCAGCCGCGCCGAGGCGCGCGGAGTCGGAAGCACTTCCGGCTGCCACTGGGCGGGCACAGAGCCCAGCGCGCAACTGGCACCGCCCACCCCGATAGCATCGCGAGCCTAGCCAACCCGGCCGATGCCCGCAGCCATTCAAAGACATGGGCGAGCCTGCCTCCCACCGCAGCCTGTGCACCGCCCAGGCCTCTGCTCATTCCGGCCTCAGCAGTCATTCCTGGCTCAGCTCCCGCTCCAGCTTCCTGGCTGCTGGAGAGCTGGGCCGGGGGCCTGCGGTGTGGGGTACCCCGTCCTGTGCCTCCCCTCTGCAAAAAACACAAAATGTGCTTTTCACTTGGAACAGTATCTGCCCGAGAGTTTGCTTTTTGTAGTGAAAGGAGTATGGTGATTTGACTGCCCAGCCTGAATCTGCATTCTGAAAGAACTTGACAAGTAGATAGTCAACTGCTGGTCATTTCCAGACCCTTGAGCCTCCAAAGAACCCGAGTGTCTCGCCTCTGGATGGGGTGGAGGAGATTCACCAGTGGGTTTTATGACAGGGCTCTGATGAGACATCAGGACAGAAACTGGGCTCTAGGAGCCCTCCCCCCATAGCTAAGGGATACAATGTTGAAGTGAGGGTTCTTGGCTGACAGCATAGAAGAGGAAAAGAAGGCAAAGGTCAGTGTATCTGATCTTCAAAGGAATTGGCCCCTGGAGAGCAAGCCACTCCAATGCTCCAGCATTCTGGCCCCAGCATGTGGGGAAAAAAAGCCTCACGTTTTTATTAGAGGGTTCCTATTCTTTCCACTACCCTCTACATTGTCATGTAGAATAGAAATCTCTCAGAGAAAGAGGAAATATCCCTACTCATTCATTACGCCTTGTCCTTCCCATCTCAGGTCCATGATGAAGCAAGTTCACAAAGAGACTTCTTCAGGGCACATAAGCCGGGTGGTCAATGAGCAAGTAGAATTCAGTCAGATTCAGCAGTGCTGCACCTCCTAAGGCATGCCATTTAAAAGTCTTGAAATCAAAATGGATTTCAAGTTCATTCTCGGTTAACTAGAATATTCAAACAGAAACATTCTCCCTCTTTCCCTTTCCTTCAGTATTTGGTGAAATGAGTTGAGATTGCTTGTTCCCAGCAATTGCAAAAGTTCAGTTGCATGGAACTCCTTGGGGTGGCTGAATGTTTTGTACAGCTAAAAATTTAACTCTTTACCCCACCTCAACCCCTGTACCCCTCCTTTTTTCTTTTTCTTTTTTTTTTACCATTTTAGAATCAAACTTTAAAAATGTGTCTCATAATTCCCTGTCTTCTCTTAACCAACAGAGCACCCTCACACCTTCATTTCCCCTCTCCTTTCTCCCTCTTCTTCCTTCCATTGCAGCAAATGCTTTCTTCCCACATGGGAAGAAAGGGTGGGAGATCTGTATATAACTAACCACCATATACAAGAGTGAGTCTGTTGAGCCCACCCTTACTGCTCTTAATCCTGCACCTCTTGTCTCTGATCACTCAGGCATCCTAATGGGGATGATATTTGCTTGTCAAAATGCTAAAAGGTCATTTCAGATCATTTTGTCCTCCAAACATCTGAATTGTATACGGGGATGATGGACTGAAACCTAGAGAAGGAAGGTGGATTGGCCCAATGTTACCTAGTGGCTAAGCCCAAAACTAGAACCCTATTTCCAGGTTGGCCTTCTTCCAGAAAAGTGTTTTTTTCCAGTGAAAGTCAGCTTTTTTTCCTTAATTAAAATTTTTTTTTTGTTTTTGTTGCAGGGGTAGTTAGGTTTGTTTGTTTGTTTGTTTGTTTATTTTAATGGAAGTGCTGGGGATTGAACCCAGGACCTTGTGCATGCTAAACACATACTTTACCACTGAGCTATACCCTCCCCCTAAAAGTCAGCTTTGACTGGTATTTTAGGCAACCACCAGCATGTGGGAATAATTTTGTTTGGAAGCAGGTTATTCCTAGCCCCAGGAATCAAATTCTGCAATCAGTCCCTCAGTTGACAGGGAAAACAAGCTTCAAGTTTTTTTCCTAGGTGTCCTTGAGACTATGAAGATTGCCAAAAACTTGTTGGCAATAATGAATTCATTTCCAGAGTTTCCATCCCAGACTCACATGACAAATAGCCCAAAAGGCAGTAAGAAATATGAAAAAGCCAGGACAATTTATACTTGCTGAGATCTTATGTAGTGAATGTATGCACATGCAGATAAATATCAGATTGAATAGACTTAAACCTGAACATGGGATCATGTTGTAGAGAAAAGAGCACTGACCTAGAACTTAGCCCCTCTGTGTTTGTGACAGTGAGGATTCCAGTTTGACTAGAGTATAAGATGGATTGGAAGGTAAGACAAGAGGTAGAAGAGGTAAGAGGCAAAAGAATAGGTAGCACCTGGCCTTGTAAGGGCCACACACTGAGTGCACAGTAACTACCTACCCAGTGAATAAGTGAAGCAAGAAGAGTTTTAGCTCTGAATGTCCGAACTAAGGGATTTGATTTCTATTTTATATTCGACAAGAAGCTCTTGGAGGATTTGTGCAGGAAAATGACACCATCAGGAAGAAACTGTCAGTTACTTTGTGAAGGAAGAATGGAAGGAAGAGAGACTTGGGACAAGGAGAGAAGTTAGGAGGGTGTTGCACACCTCTGCTTCTGGTAATGGCAGGCTAAGTAATTTGGACAATGAGTACAGCTAAAAAATACGGGCTGAAATTAAAAAGAAAAAATTTCATTAAGGGCTAAGCAATGATGAGGCTAAAATCTAGAAGACAAGAACCCAGATAGGAAAGCCCAGCACACAAAGCCACCTTTGCCTGAGGGCATTTGCCAAATCCAGAAGAAAGAGTTGTGAAGCTGAACTGTGGTTTTGGTGGCCTCATGGGCAAAGGGAACAAAACTTAAAGCCCACATCCCGAACAGGTAGCTCTGATAAGATCTCCCAGCTACCTTAAGCTGAAACTAAATGGCTACCCCTTCGGCATGATGGTGAACCAGAAGTAACAAGTTCTTGCATGGACTTGCAGCCTAGATACCCATCACCAGAGTGATTCAAGGAACTTCAAGCACTGAACTTGGATTAAAGTAGTGTCCCCAGGCATTTGTCAAGTGAAAATACTCTCAGCAGGAAGGTTCTGTCTTCCTATGCTTGAAGTCAGTCTTACAAATAATTTTTCAATATATCAGCACATAGTCAAAGATAAGTAGGCACACAAGGAAAAAATACGTTGCAAGTGACAACCAAAAGAAAAAAATTGACAATTGGAAGAAATTCACAAAGATTTCAGTTATCAGAATTATGAGACACAAACTATAATAACTATCATTTCCTATAGTTTGAAAATAAAAGATAAGCTTTTTTTGGGAGGACAGTATGGAGGTTCCTTAAAAAACTAAAACTAGATTTACTGTATGATCCAGCAATCCCACTCCTGGGCATATATCCAGAGAGAACTTTAGTTCAAAAAGATATATGTACCCCAATGTGCATAGCAGCACTATATACAATAGCCAAGACATGCAAACAACTTAAATGTCCATCGACAGATGACTAGATAAAGAAGAAATACTACTCAGCCATAAAAAAGAATGAAATAATGCCATTTGCAGCAACATGGATGGACCTAGAGATCGTCATTCTAAGTGAAGTAATCCAGAAAGAGAAAGAAAAATGCCATATATCACTTATATGCAGAATCTTAAAAAAAAAAAGGAGCACAAATGAACTTATCTCCAAAACAGAAACAGACTCACAGACATAGAGAACAAACTTATGGTTACCAGGGGGTAAAGGGGGTGGGAAGGGATAGATTGGGAATTCAAAAATTGCACCTCTTGGGGAGTGATGGCAATGTTAGCTATCTTGATTATGGTAGTAGTTTCCTTGGTGTATACACCTATCAAAATTTATCAAATTGTACATCTGAAATATGTGTAGTTTACTATACAGGAACCATACCACAATAAAGGTGTTTTGAAAAAATGAAAAAAAATAAAAATAAAAAAATTTAAAGATAAGCTTTAACATATCTTTAGGGAACAAAAATCATAAAAAATGGAATAGCCAATTTGAAAAATGATCAAATAGGAGATCTAGGCCTAAAAAATATAATTTTATTCACTGATTTTTTTTGAGGAACATTCTTATGTACCCATAAAGACCCCTCAAACCCCCACAGAAAACTATTTCTCCAAAAAAAAGTCTCTGCTGCCTTACTCCAAGCCAATCAGAAAGCTGTCCATCAGTAAAGACATTAACCTGTCTTCATTTGTGTTAAGCAATATGTCACTGACAATTTTGACCAAGTGTCATAAAGAGAAAGATTGCTGCATTTTTTAAGTTTAATTTTTTGGGGATTTCTCTTCACTTTTGCTAGACAGTCACAATCCACGTAGATCACAGCTCCCTCCTCAAAGCCTGCAGAAACTGACTTCTTAACATCTGTAACTTCTTCTGGAAATATCTTCCTCCCTTACCATGGAAGGACAAGAGCAGGGAAAATGCCCCACTAACTCTAAGGTTTTTAATCCCAGGGACTTGGAGCATAGTGTACTAAAAAGGGCACTGGACCACAAATCTGAAGATCTAGTGTCACAGTCTCTGAATCTCAGTTTTCCCATCTGCAATATGGAGGTGATAATACTGCCTATTTGTTAATGGAACAACCCTGGCAGAAGGGAATCTTGTTTTGACCCAGCTTCCTGGCTCAGGGGGCTTCACCTCCCTCATTCCCTCGGGCCTGTCAAGTTTCTCAGTTTCCCATTTGGAAGAGCTGTTGTCACTACCACTTCTAGCCATCAGAGGTCCTCAGCTCTCATGGTCTAATTGTTGACTGTGCCTTTTTATTTATCTAATTATTTCCTTGAATATTAGCAAGCTAGGCTGACATTTACAAACCCAACCTTCTCCAGAAGCTCTGTGTAACGGAATGGGATAATCACAGGGGGCAAAGACCCTTTTTAGTGCACTAATGGATAGACCTCTACTTCTACACTTGAGTCCCAGCTGCCACTAGCTACCCTGCTCTTCAGT